TGCCTTGCCAATAACAAACCCATTCCCACGCTCATCTATGCGTTCAATTGCGCGTGTCGTTTTTGTCTTGGTCGATAAAAAAATTTCTTGTCCTTTTTTCTTTTTGTCCCTCAAGGATGTGTCCGGGTATAATAACCCCCTGTTATCGCGCTGGACCTTTTTTCTTTTTGTGTTTTCTTTATACACACCCTCAAGTCTCACCTCATCACCTCCATGGCTTTTCTTACCGCGACCCTCGCCAACATCAGCACCACCACCACCTTCAGCAAAAACTGATGGAGCTGCAGTCGCCAAAGGTTGGAGGCATACCTGTATGGGGTCGACAGACGTACCAAGGTCTAGTACTGTCGTTGCGGTGGTTCTGTTAAACGCAAAGGCACGAGCTGGAGAAACGATCTCCACGCCTCTTTGTTGCCCTCGTCGGCGCTCGATGGCCCGATTGATCAATGGCTCTTCCTCGGAGGAGTCGCCGTCTTCGTACAACACCTCTGGACTTGCAGGCGTAATAGAATGGCCCTCCTCGACGATAAGGGAAGACGCCGGGGCGTCGACGGAGGCAGCAGCTGGCATAGACAAGGTGACGACTTTCACCAGTTCCTTGAACCAACGGCGGACAGGACCTTTCAAATTGTACTGTGCTCGGATATCCTGCCATGGAGCCAGAGATTGGCCATCGTCTGTCGACACATCATCCAGAGTGACAACTCCGTCCACAAAGAGTCGGTGGGCGATTTTTGGGTATCCGCCTGGGGGCATAAGGAGGCCGATGTATCGAGAAACGTTGACAGGGATCCCTGGCGACTGGAAGGTGATACCCCTCTCGACCATGAGGCGGCAAACGTGTCCGAAGAAATTGTTGCGAAGGAATTGAGCTCCAATGGTTGGTACGTCAAAGGGGGATATCGTAAGGCGGCACTCTGCTTGATGGGCTGTTGCTCGAGACGCCATCACCATGCCCAGCAGCTCCTGGTCGTTTAGCCGCAGATGTGCAGTTGAAACTTGCTCCTCGATCATGGCATCTTCAAGGTCTCGGAGACCGTACAGTCGACGATGGAACAGGATGCTGGCCGGCGAGCCGAGGGGCAGCCCCACCTTCTGGCGAACGACGTTGGTGTACTGGCTGACAATGGTCTTTGTCTCGCGAGGGCTAAGGATTGTCACTGACAACCGGTAAAGTATCCGTGGCAGTAGAACATTATTGAAGATGTAAATGCACTGCTTGTCGGTGATAGCCTTCCGCGAGAGTATCTGACACATCGTTGACACCTCCTCCTTCACTAGCCGGCGTGTATGGGCTCCCTTTCCGTCAGCAGAGAACCACACACCCAGGACCCTGGCAGCAGTGCCAGGAGGTAGAGCGGTCACCGTATCCGCACCGAGTCTAATAGAGGAATCAGCAGAGGTAGAATTGACCACGATTAGTTCTGATTTTTTTGGGTTAATCTCAATACCATGTAATTGAAAGAAACTCATCGCTTTGTTTGTGATCTCTTGTAGCTTAGCCTTAGACGGTGCTATCCAGTCCGTGTCGTCCATGAAGGCAAGGCAGGCAATGCGGAGCGGGGTGTCAGGATGCAGTGAGTCGAACGTTGGGATCTTGTGGAACGCCTGCAGGTCAGCCCTGTTAACCATAGGGTAGCCGAGGTTGGACTGCCAGATCTGGGCGAGGAGTACTTCATAGACGATGCGCCAAAGTAGGGGACACTCTACTCCACCCTGATCCAGGCCGCAGAGAGGAGAGTATTCTTCCGTAAGTCCGTATGCGGTGATGATACGATTGGTCTTGTTTCTCGCGACGTAAAGGCACAGGTCGATGAACCCCTGTGGGATCTTGAGATGTCGCAGACCGAGTTCCAGCATTCCACCTCTCTGACACGATACCGAATCAAAGCACCGCTTCATGTCCTGCAGCAGCACCCAGACCTCTTTCTTGTACTCTCTGGCGTCCTCGAGAACCGCGTTCAGGATATGGATCGGGTCCTTGGTCATGGTTCCCTTGAGCACTGAGAAGTTGGGGCCGCGAAAGATGGAGTGGCGAGACAGCACCACGGTAAGCCGTTTCACCATGATGGAGAAGAATATCTTCCTGCCGTGCTCCAAAAGTGTGATAGGGCGTACCTCACTAATCCTTCCCGACCACACCGGCCCTTTCGGTATGCAATAGATCACCCCCTTCAGCCAATCCTCCGGCATCGCTCCTTGTACAAAGCACGCCTGAACTAGGACGACAAAAAGTGCTTGGGCAAGGGGGCCAAGCCGCTTCAAAAGATCTCCTGACACCTTCGAATGTCCTGGTGCCTTGCCTGTTGGAGCCGCCGTCACCGCTGCACACACTTCTGCATAATCCGGTATCTCCATCACAGTGTCGTACCATTCCGTCCGAATGTCCTCCCTCGGTTGGTACGCCTCCTCCCATTCTTCGCTCAATGGTTGTGTAGGCCGTTCCTTGTGAAAAGTATCGCAAAAATACTGACGAACTCGTGCTTTGATCTCGCTTGGATCGTCAATGACATAGGTGTCAGGAGAGACGTTTCCAGCAGCGTCAGGGTTGATAGGGTCATCATCGACAATGAGGTGGTCGAGGTTCACACGTCCTGCGACGATGTCGAGTATTCCTCGAATCGTCTGCCTTGTATGTGTCTGAAACCGGAGGTCGCGGTTCTCTAAATGGGTGTTGATGATATCCTGCACGTTGGCGGCATAATACTCCTGATGGTCCAGTCTCGCTTGCCGCCAAGGCCTTTGCACTTCTCGTACCCAGCCGTCCCACGTCTGCGTCGTTGCCTCCATGTCCGGTACATCGCTCAGTCCTAGTTGCTCTCCGTTCATTTGGTGCCAGTCGACAATCTTGCCATGTACACCCTCCTTGGTCGTCCCCTCCGCCAGCTGTAGTTCGATGAATGTCACTCGTGCGGACCAAATGACACCCCCGATCTCATGGATCTTGTTGAGTAGGAGCTCTTCGCCTTCGGGGGGAGGGGGCCGACCACCGGTGCGGGCGCTAGGGAGATGTGCAAATGCGGAGGACATGACAGTATTACGGAGTAGCTCCCAGGCAGCATTCAGAGGGAATCGTTGCAAATCACTCTTCGAAAAGGGATTCATCGCTTCACCGAGTTGAAAGGCGGCTGGGAACTGGGGGACATTATCCAGCCGTCCGTAGGAGCGGAGACAGCGTTCTATTTGTTCCGCAAAGGACTCCCAAGCCTCATTGTCGGCGTCTTCCGGTAGGAGCTTTTTGTCCTTTGGCCGCTGTGCGGCCAGTTCCGCTTGGTTTGCTGGCCGGATCTGGGTGTGGAGGTCAAAGGTTGCTAGAAACATGGAGTGGTCGCTGCTTTCAAAGTCGTCGGGTTCATAAGTGTTGGTGCGGAGTAGGTATGAAGCCAAACCCGAGGATGCCCATACCATATCTATACGACTGACGTCTGGACTGTCTGGAAGGTGGAATGTGAATAGAGGAGTAGTTGGATGTAGGGAGCGGAAAGTGTCGACAAAGCCACGACTCGACAGCCATGGGTACAAGCTGAGCTCTGGAGTCGAGGTCGTTCTGGTGGTGGAGTTGCGGTCGATGGCCGGATTGACAGCGCCATTGAAATCGCCTAGCAGAAGGACGTGAGCGCCGTCTACTCTGTGCTTGTCGATCTGAGCGGTGACCCAGTCGTGGAGTTGTTGGAAGTCGGCTGGGTATGTTTTGGAGCCCTTGGGAGGGAAGTAACAGTTGATGACTGCCAGTTGGAATCCATGCTTGAAACCGAAACGGACACCGATGCCACGTCCGTTCTTATCCGAGAATGTTGCTGTGAGGTATGTTGCCCATGATTTGTGGATGAGAAGGCCGACTCCCTTCCCATTAAAGTGTGTTGATGTGTGGTTCCAGAGACCAGTGTAGTGGTTGCTGCAGCGACGATGAAGAAGATGCTGCTGCTTGTCTGCCTGAATCTTGGTCTCCTGCACACCGAGAATACTGATATTGTGTTGGTTTGCGCGTTGCGTTAAATAATTGAAATAGTTGGTCTTGTTGCCACCTCGGACATTAAACGTTGCCACTGTGAAAGTGCGGAAGGGGTCGTGAAAAGGACTGGGATCGTAGCGCCCAGGGGTGTATGTTGGTATTGGTGTGTCAGACATTACAGTTCGGGGTCGCTTTGGGGTTCCTGCGTCTCCTCGACGGTGTTGTGATAGCCATGTGGGGTGGCGCTATCGTAATGGTCGACCTCTCCATACTGTTCCTCTGTGCCAGATTGTTGAGACTGGCTGTTCGAAAAGTACTGATCAAATCGATTCATAAGCTGTTTGTTCTCGTTGCGGAGGTCCGTGATCTGCTGTTCATAGGTTTCGCGTTGTCTTGCAAGGTCTGCACGGAGTTCCTGGATGGTCTCGTTCAACGTGTTGAGAATTTCGTTCATGTCTGTTGAGGCGGAGCGATTGTCCTGGGGGGCATCACGAACGACCGCCTTGCCCTTGCGGCTTGGTCCTCTCTCAGTAAACGCGCTCTCCTCGCGTTGGCTGTCGCCCTTGGCAAACGACTTGCCGCCGTGGTTGTTGGGGCGAAGGCTGTTGACTGAATATGCTAACAGTTTCGCAGGTGGTGTTACTGGGCGACCTTGGGCTTTCGCAGCGTCAAGTGCCGTCTCAGCAATGGAAAAGGCGACCAAAGCTGGGTCCGGAGTCTGGGAGTCCAGGACGATGACATGGGTGGGGGCGTCCATGAGTTCAACGTCTTCATCCATCGACCCACCGTCTTCCTCCCTCACTTCTGCCACCTGGACTGGTGCCGTCAAGTTGTTGTTTGGGTGTGTTCCGGTTCCCTGGAGTGAAGACAGAAAATGGGTAAACATGGCCTGCATATCCGCACGGAGAGAGGCATTGTTGGCTTGCATGTCTGCGCGGATAGAAGCGATGGAGTCCTGTTGTTGTTGTTCCAGTTTGGCCATCTGAGCTTGAATAGGAGTTGATCTGTTTGTGGAGTTACCAGTTTGAGCAACCAAAGGGGTAGTAGCCTATGCTGCCCTTGACGAGGAGGTGGCCACCGCCGGAGGGGTCGAGGTGCCAATGGTGATTGGGTTGGATACAGCCGAACCTCGGTTCTTAGGGACAGCTGCGGCCGACGCATAGCTCATTCCTGGGGTCGAACGAGTCGCTGTCGATTGTTTCCTGGCAGGCGCCGAGGCGCCACTGTTCTGAACTTGAGTAAAAGGGCGGGGGGCAGTGGATCGAGTCTGAGTACGTGCCTTGATGGTTTGGATGTTGGAAAGACGTCCGATGGTTGCGGAGACATTGGTTGATCTAATGTAACATTCGCTAACAAAGTGGGTCGGGTCTCCACAGTGGCGGCAAGTTGGTTGACTGGCGTTAACCCAGCATGTCTTGTGAGAACCGATAATGACAGAGGCACTGGTGGCAATTTGCTGTTGGGGGGGGGATGAGAACAGGATGTGCGCCTCAGGCTGGCGCTTGCTGGTGTAAATGTTCCGGGGCATGACAATCGAGTGGAAAGGTATCGGGGTAGCATTGGGGTCGCTTGGGTCCGGGTTGCAGAATAACTGGGCGATCTCGACCGGAGTAATGCCGGTAGGGAGAAGCGCAAGCTTCTTTGTAAGGGAGCTGTCGTACTGGACTGGCTCGTTGCCCAGCCAGGTCACCGTGGCGATGTCGTCTCGTACCTGTACGTAGGTCGTATTAACGCTCTTGATGGCCTTAATGGCCTGGTCGGATTCGTAGATGACAGTAGCCGTGGCCATAGTGGCTTTGGCATTTAGAGCGACTTTTACCCGTTCGATTATACCGTATTTGCTCAATGCTGCTCTAATATGATCCTCGGTTGTGTCGTACGACAGGGAGATGATATGGAGAATCCGTCCCTGGTGCAAGGCCTGGGCCTCGGGGGTGTACATTGCAAAATGTGTGACGTGGCCATTCTCGTTCTTGCTTCCGTGCTCACATGCGGCTTCGGCCTCATGGGTTGTATAAACCTGGAAGATGAGGTACTGCTCCTTGGTGCTGGTAGCCGTGGATTTCCCGGTGCTGTTTTCGGTGGACTCCTTGGGCTTGGCATCAATGGAGAGCGTTACTATGGCGAAGGACTTGGGCTTGATGCTGGCTATCTTCTGAAGGGTGCCGACAGCCCAATCAGACATGAATGGCATGGAAGTACCTTTGTTGAAGCAAGAGATGGGGAATTTAAGCCAGTGGGTAGCCTTTGAACGGGAGACCAGGACGAACTCTGGCTCAATCCCGGCCTGGAGAGCAACCACTGAGGTGTCGAAGGCCTGAGTCGAGAGTATTGGGGATGCCACCTCGACACCGTCCATGCTCCCTTCCTCTTTGGGGTCAGGGTGATACGGCTCAGGGCCGCGTTTGGGAGGCATTTTGGGTGTATTTTTTGTTTAAGTTGGGTTTTTTTTTGGAAAGTTGATATAAGAGTGAATAAAAAAATTTGATATTTAGAAGCAGAAAAGTAAGGGGGATTGGAAATACTCAAGCAGCCGGGATGGATACTTGAGGAATAGGGGTAAAAATGCGAATAACTGTTTTGGAGCAGACAGCACTTTTGTGGTGTAAAGGAAAGTTTTGAGGCATTTCTCTTTTTTTTTTTCGTACACAATTTTATTTCTCTAACAAACAGCATAGAGAAGTTATTTGGAAGTAAAAGGGAACTACAGACCAAACTCTTCAGTGCACCATCCACCAGTCGCAGTCCGGTCCAGAACCTGGCTCTGCGCAACAATTGTCGCTGCTCTTCACAGCTTAAACGGAAGAAGATAAAACTAGATACGAATGAAGGGGATTCTTCCCATCCTCTCCATCATTGACAACCTCCTCCTTCCTAACAAACTCTCCAACAAACGCTCGTCAGCAGCGCGTGGGTCCTTGGTCGCCCCAGGGCACCTTCCTTCACAATGTGTGGCTAGCGAAGCGCCACACGGACAGAAACCATCGTGCGTGATGTAACCGTATCCTTGACTCCAGTCACCTCGGGGGCCTGTGTACTTGGATGTCTTGTCCTTGGCAGAGATGCCCTGGCTTTGTTCCCACGCGATCGTCTCGGAGCACCGAGGTTTCCAGATCAGCTCCGAGGCCTGCGCCTCCAGGTAGCCAACAAACTTGTGAAGGACTGTCTTGGCGATGGACATTGGGGTCCGGAAGACCGCGGACCATTCAGTCAACATGCTCAAGGGGGTGATGCCGCGGAGGAGATCCGACACATTCCACATCGGTTTCTCGTCTCGATCGGGAGCTTGACTACCGCTGTGCACGGCTCGAGCTCCACCGATGGAGGAAAATCCTCGCACATGATCCGCATCCGAAGGGGGCCACCAGTGTATGGGTACTGGCCTCGGTACCTGACGACCTCTGTCCACCGCGCGTTTGTATTCTCGCTTCCTGGCTGCGTTGTAGCTGTTTGTCGCCTGCACACCCCACTCATTAATCTTGCCCATGGCCTCCTTCCAGATCTCAGTGGTGGTCTCAGCTGCCGAAGGGCATTTCCAGACGTGATCGTTATCCTCCTTCTCGAGCTCGCATCGTCGACACACGCATGTTGGGTACAGGTTGGGCTTGCGAGCCTGCATGGAGTTCAGAGTGGGCAGCATTCCATGCAGCTTTTTGATATGATGTGTGCGTTGGTGAGAGTCCTTGCTGTTGCTGTAAAAGGTGAAGACTGCGTGCCTGTCGTGGACATATGCCAAGGTCGAGTTCCATTCCACGTCATCGATGTCAGGGATCGCCCTCTTGACCCGCCTCTGTGACGTCCAGGCCTGATGGAGGCATTTCTCTACTTTTTTTTTTTTTTTTTTTTTTTTTTCTTTTTCTTAGTTGGTGGCGTCATGTCATGTGACATATATCATTTGGAGACTAAGAGTTCAAAGAGAATATTAAAAATTAGTTCTCAACAACCTCTCAAAGCAAAGTCGCCCAGAGGAAGAGCGCTGGGCTCATAACCCAGAGGTCGGTGGATCGAAACCACCCTTTGCTATAATCTTTTTGTCCTCACTTCTTTGGGTGGGAAGTCCACTCGGGAGAGTTCGCCATTTTGCATGTCTAGAAGGTGAATGGAAAGTTTGACTAGCTGGTTGCCATCTTTTTTCCTCCTCTATGGATTAATCTATTTGACAACCCGGGTTGTTCGTTTTATTCAACAACCCAACGTGTTTTGCATGCTAAGTCCATGGACAACCTATTTTTCTTTCAAGTCAATACATCGATGTTTTTTGTTGTAGTGTCTTCGTTTTTTATCATCCACATCATTAATAAAGCCCTTTCAACCATCGAATGCCATCACCAGCCAAAATTATGTCTTCATCACCACCACACACGTAAAAAAACGGTATTTTCGTGTAAAAAGCATCTTAACAACCGCTTTGAACAACGTGGGAGTCGTGCTCCATAAAGAAGTGGCGAAAACAAGCGCTACTGCAAGTGTTTGGTGTCATCTTCCATGGTATCATCAAAAAAAGATGAAAAAGTGCTTACATGGACTTAGCACGCAAACGTGTTCGGTTGTTGAATAAAACGAACAACCCGGGTTGTCAAATAGATTGATCCATCTCAAAAACAGAAACGGAAATAGATTACCCCAAAATGCATACCTTAAAAATGAAAGAGAGAAATGGAGATATTCCGTCAAGTAGAATCTCAAACCATGCCATCCGGCTTCAAAAAGAAACAGAACGCAACTGCTGTAGAAGTTGCGCCACGAGCATAGATTCATCCTTCTTTCTCTTCTCCTTGCTCCCGTTCTTAAGTCTCCACAAGGCCCTCGGCTCATTCGCCAACCCAGGTTACCAAAAAAGTGAAATTTCAGGAACAAAAAAAATTGATCACCAAAGACAGGCTTTGGCGAACAGAACTAGGGAGGAGTACCCTTGGTTCCAGATCGGATTTGTAGCAAAGGGTGGTTTCGATCCACCGACCTCTGGGTTATGAGCCCAGCGCTCTTCCTCTGGGCGACTTTGCTTGTGCCGATTATTCTGGGTTGTTTTCACTGTAGTCCAAAAAGTAGGCTCCATTCTCCGCAATATCTGATGAGTATGATATCTGCCCACGTGATTCGACGTGAAAAGGTGCCCTGGAGCGACCAAGGACCCACGCGCTGCTGACGAGCGGTTGTTGGAGAGTTTGTTAGGAAAGGGGAGGTTGTCAATGATGGAGAGGATGGGAAGAATTCCCTTCATTCGTATCAAGTTTTATTTTCTTCAGTTTGAGCTGTGAAGAGCAGCGACAATTGTTGCGCAGAGCCAGGTTCTGGACCGGACTGCGACTGGTGGATGGTGCACTGAAGTGTTTGGTCTGTAGTTCCCTTTTACTTCCAAATGCCTCTATTGTGTGCTTTATCAGAGGTGTACAGTACGAAAACAAAAACAAAATATAAAAGGGTGGTTCGTTGCGCCTGCTCAAGTTGATCCCATCCTGTCGCGGCTCAATCTATGCTAACTTAGTACTCCAGTAGACTCGCAGGCGATACTCAGTCAATGAATAGGTAAGCAGGCTGTGAATGCAAAACCATGCGCAGAATAAACTTAGTTGGACATTCGTTTTTGTTCCAGTCGTACATGTTTTTACTCCAATCGATAATGCTAATTTCGTAACTTGCTCTTTTCATGAACTCGGACAGTGTGAATGTGTGTGCAGATGAAGATAGTACTGAAGTGTAAAGTAAAAAACGATGGCTACTTCTGTTGTCAGGAGTTGTTGTTCTTATGGTGCCTTTTTCTTCTTTGGATTCCAATCGGCACAGAACCATCAACAAAAAATGTTTCATGATTTTGGAACAAGGTACAGGGTGAATCCTTCGGTTCCTTGTGGTTGACGCAGGAAGAAAAAGAAGGGAGCGGACGGGTATATTTTTATAGTGAATCCCCCGATCAAGGCACCCCGGTAAAAGATTGGAGCTGCGCGTGCCTGAGAGAGGAGTGAAGGAGGAAGAAAAAAAAACATAAGACAAGGCGCAGATTTGTTTCCCCTTTCCCTCGATCACGGCCATCCATACCGCTCATTCGCATATTCCTTCTCCTCTCCTTCCCTTCCTTTACGTCCGCTCGTAACTCCATTCCTTGCTCTCTCATGCTTACGACTTACCACTCTCATATGTGAAGACATTCACCCCCCATTCGACCAAGACTAGTCGTTTCTCTCCTCTCATGCATCGCCCTCATTTTCACCGTCCAAACAGCATCTGCTGCATCCATCGACATCATCCACCCGCCCACGCCCCATTCACTTTACTCCAACAGCGCCATCGAACCCGAATCACTACCATACACAACAACAGCAGCGGCAGCAGTAGTTTCAATCATCCACAAGAGCCCATACTCCACCGACCTTCTTTAACACATTTTGTCGATCGCCGAGGAATGCATACACCCGCATCTTTTTTTTTTTTCATTTGAGTTGACAGACAGAAACGGTCTGTGCGACAAGCCAACTCTGAATCACAGCTCATACTCCTCATCATTTGACTTCCTTTTCATTACTCTCAGTCAAGCATACCCTTGAGCGTCGCGCACCAGGTGATAATGCAACACACCCAGGAGACAAGATTACGAACATTAAATCGAATAGATAACGAGCAGAAGCTGGGAGAAGACAAGGATAATGGAACGCCTGACCAATTCGAGGACGGTACATTGACCAAGGGTGATCCCACCAAGAGCTCCAAGAAGACGATCATGATTGTCGCGATTGGCGGAAGTGCTGCCCTGGTGGCTATTATTGTCGCAGAATTCATTATTAGACACTGCGATAAAATAAGGTTTAGACTCACTTTGTAAGTAACGAGACAAGAAGAAGGTTGTATTAGGGCCCACCAGGAACGATCTCTTATGTCGTTCCTGGTGGCTTAGTTCTAGCTAGTTCATGTCTTCATCTATCTATGATCCACAAGGCAAATACGCAACAACTCCCTCCTAAGGGAAGGCTGAAAGCCGCCCTGAGAAGAAAGGAACGCGTGTGTGCTTTGTGGTGTGTGGTGTTTGGGAAAAAAAGAAAACCCAAAGGAAAATAAAAATAAAAAAGAAAATAAAAATACACTGATCTGCAAAGGAAAACAAAAGAAACCTTGTCAGTCGTGTTGAGGGTCAATAAACCTCTCATGACATATAGTACATATCACTCGAGGCAAAAAAGCAAAATCCTCGTGAGGGGAAACCCAAAGGGAAAACCTCATGCGTGATTATAAGGGGAAAGCTGAAAAAAACCCCTTCTCTCCATTCACTCCATCTTGTGGTGATGAGGATTACTTTCGACCACGCTTGCGCGTGCGAGTAGTCCTTTTCTCCGTGCTACTCTTTTCGACAGTCTCCTTAATTAAGCGCTTGCGCTTGCGGGGTTCTGATTGCACTGCTATCTGTGCACTATCATTTGGGCTGCCATGCTTGCGCGTGCCCCCACTTATCTCATCACTGATCGTATCATTCATTGGCTTATCTTTCGATCGATCTTTAGCCTTCCGTTGCTTTGAAGCTGACTCCTGCTCTTCGCTCCTTGACTCATGTGTCTTCAACGTTTGACGAGGCTGCGGTAGAGATTGTGTAATTGGTTGATCGCGGGTCTTCCAATAGTCTGTGATACACTTTCTCTCAACAAAGTTCTTTTGAGGCTCCCAAGTTCGTTCCTTGTATCCTTTCCAACTTACGTAGTACTCTACTCCCTCCCCAGGAACATCCCTATGGTCGAGAATTTTTTCCACTTCGTAAGTTTCTGTTTCCTCAAAGTCGTCCAGTACCAGCTTTAGCTGTGATGGTGCGAAATTGCGCCCCAGTAATTCTCCTGTCCCATCTTTGAGAGCATAAGAACCACCAGTGGTGCGGCGGACAACAGTGTAGGGGCCCTCGTAACGAGGCGATAGCTTGTCACCCCTAATAGGATCCAAAGACATTACTTTTGCTCCATCTGGGAACTCATTGTGCAGTACCGTTCTGTTAAAACGCTCAATCATTCGCTGTTGAGTGTCACGTGTCTTGGTTTGAATTGCTGGGAAAACAACCTTGGTCATGTATTCAAGGCGTTCTAAGAGCACTTCATGAGAAGGAATAACACCCTTTTCATCCGAGAGATTACTCAGTCCATTAAATCGCCTTGCAAAAAACAAAGAAAAAGGCGAAGAGTTGTGAAGAGCCACAATTCTCGTGTTCATGGCCAGCTGTGCCATAGGAACATGTAATGCCCAACTTTGTTTCTGGTCGTCGATTTCTTTTCTGATAATGCTACACGCCGTTTTGACGTGGTTCTCGGCAACACCATTGCCTCTGGGGTGATAAGGAGTGACCAACCGATGGTCCACACCTAAATTAGTAGTCATTACTTTAATTGCCCCATTGACAAATTCTCTGCCGTTGTCAGATTGTAGAATGGCGGGAAAACCGATCAAAGTAAATGTTTTGAACAACACCTTTGCGACGGTGAGTGCCTCCTTGTTCGGTATAGGTTCAAGGAACACAAATCTTGTACAAACATCGACTAAGATGAGAAGGAATCGATTACCTCCGCTATCCACAGGAAAAGGTCCGGCTAGATCAACAGCCATGTGTTCTCCTGGTAACTGAGCATGAACGGCCTTCATTGGGTGGTACCCTTTGCGAGCGATATTGTTTCGCTGGCATTGTTGGCAACGTTGAACGAACTCCAAACAATCCTTGGCTAGATTAGGCCAGGTCTTGTCCACTCCGTGAATGTGTTTTACCATGGCATTGGTCCCAAAGTGACCAAGTGCATGGGTGTCGGCTAGGATAGTTCTCCTTTCAGAGACCTTCACTGTTTGACGAGGAGTAGTTGAATCCTGGATCAAATGCATGTATCCATAAATCTTTGTCGGCGCTGAACCTTCTGTTCTTCCCGTCCACAACTCCGGCGGGAACTGGCGAGACAAAGCGTCTGGAAGCACATTAAGCACGCCAGGGCGATAAACAACCTTGAACGTGTATGACCAGATCAACTCCTGCCATCCGGTGAGCATTGAGTTCAAGTCCTTTTGCGTATGCATGTAGGTGAGAGCTCGATGATCCGTGAAGAGCGTGAAATGGTTGCCCCACAAATAATAATGTAGCTTCTTGAGGGCGAACACAATCCCGAGTAGCTCCTTTTGAGTAGCCGAATATCTCCTTTCCCGATCCTGTAACGATCGCGCTACAAAAGAGATATATTTAATATTCTCAGGTTCACCTTCGCCTCCCGGTAACTGATACAGAACCGCTCCGACACCAACATTTGATGCATCTGTGGCAACATAAAAGGGTAGGCCGAAATCCGGAAAAGAAAGTACTGGAGCTTGTGTGAGAATATTCTTTAATGAATTGAAGCACCGTAATTGAATGTCGTTTAATACGAAGGATCCAGGTACATTGCGTAGCGCGTCCAGCGGTGCCGCAACAGTGCTGATAAGAGGCATATACTCCCGAAAAAAGTTGAACGTGCCCATGTACGACTGAACCTGCTTTCCAGTGGTCGGCGGGCTCCAGTCCTGAATGTTCACCAACTTATTCGGGTCCACACGTCTGCCGGCGGTATTAATTACAAATCCAAGTAATGCTACCTGCGTGCTATAGAATCTACATTTCTCAATGTTGATAATTAGTTTGGCTTTGGTCAGTCGTTCAATGACAACCATAACATGCGCAAGATGGTCCGCTCGATCCTTCGAAGCAATCAGAATGTCATCAATAAAATTGCGGACAAAATCCAAATCGCCGAGAATCCTTGACATTCCACGTTGGAACAGACTGGACAAGGGCTTCAAGCCGAAAGGGGCTTTCTTGAACATGTACTGTACTCCATTGTGCGTGAATGCTGTAAGCGGTCTGTCTTCCTTATGAATCGGAAGTCGATGATAAGCCTGACGCAAATCCACCGTCGAGAACACAGCATTGCCTCCTGCAAACTGCATGATCTCTGATATAAGAGGTACAGGAAAATTGTCATCAGGTAAGTGAGCATTGAGAGGGCGTGGGTCAAGACAAACACGATAAAGGGTTTTCTCACCATTTGCATCCTTCTTTGCTGCGAGCGTCAGAGTGTTGTTGTGACGATTACCAGCCGGTGCCAGTGTAATTACATCGTCCTGCAACCAGCGATCTACTGCGTCATCCAGAATGGGTCGTTGTGACTGAGCGAACACTCTTGAACGTCGATTCAAAGTAATGCCCTCCGGTACAGGTAAAAACACCTTCATCTCCGGAATTGGGCAAAAGCTGGTGGAAGGGATCCTTGCGTTCTCCTCCAGTAGCTCCTTGACGCACTCCATAAATGACTTCTTTTCCTCGATGTACTCCCGCGTCGTCTCCACAGGGGGTGTCATAAGAGGTATGAGAGTCGGCTTCTCGTCCTCAACAGGCATAGGTACTCGATCAGGAGACTCTACTGGGTCAGGTAAACCTATGATGTTGAAGCCATACCGATGAAAGAGATCCATACCAATAGTAATGGCATGGGGTTGATCAATAACTTCGTATGGTGCGCAAAGCAAATTCTTTCCACAGATAACCTCCATGTTCTCTGTTTCGCCGATGCGTGCAATAGTCGAAGTATCCGCTAACTCGATGTACCCTTTCATTTTATTGACAGGGATCGAATATTTGCTGACTATTCTTGAACTGATGAACGAGTGCGTGGCGCCTGTATCGATGAGCGCTCGGTGTTGTTCTCCGTGGATGGTGACAGGAACAAAAAGACGATTGTCTGGTTGGTTCTTGCGTTTGACCGATCCGTACGCAACTTGCACAAGAGAAAAATCATCGTCACCGAATTTAAATAACGGGTAGCCGTCACACATCTTTGCAACAGGGTTGTCTTTTAGCGTGTGTCTTTCAAACGCTTGAGCGAGTTCGTCATCCTCGACTTCGTACGAGCCAAAAGCGCAACCATCATCTTCTTTACTGATTACACCAACTGCCCCATACTTGATCTTCGCTTTTATAATACCAGCCATTTCAGCACTTCTCCCACCTTCCCCTCCGTCGAGAGGTGATGGAGGAGGTGAACCTACATGAACCGACATTCCAAAGCGGGACTCCGCATTCGCTTTTCTCTTCTTTCTCCTTTTCTTCTTTACAACAAGATTGCCCTCCATACTGTTTTCAGTATTACTGCTGGTCGCCTCACGCATCACTTTATTCGACTCAACCATGGGTAACACATCTATCTGCGCCGTCACCAGAGGGGTTACATCAAGATGGGCAGAGAGAAGACAGAGTCTTTTAAGGAGTATGAGCTGAGATTGCGACGGCTGGTCGAGGTCTACCGTGTCAAGGAGCTTCCTAAACACACCGATGTCACCCAGACTCTGAGGATGTCAATCCCGTCACTGACTTTGACGGTGATGCAACTGTCTGAGACGGTGAACATGTTACTGAAACATGTGGGTATGGCGGTGCCGGATGTAACGTCGTTGGACTTCCTGATGAACGCGATCCCGAACGCCCTTGGTCCTGATGAGTGCTCGGAGTGGAAGGTCTTCATCGATGCGTCGAGGAAGGCGAGAATGTCCAAGGAGAGCGACGGCATCAACCAAGGAGGCAGCCAACACCATAGGCAACATCAGCAAGTAAAGAAGACGGTGGCCGCTCAGACGAATGCAGGAGCATCGTCAGGAAGCAATACCGTCAGCGCCAACAACAACCATAACAGCTACCCAAACGGCCATCAAGGTCAGTATCCCGGCAATCGAGGTAGAGGAGCACCGCAGGGACGATGGCAGAATCGTGGCAAAGGAAGAAGCCATCCGTATAATGGTACGTCCGTTGATCCTGCTTTGCTACTGGACGTTGTTGAAGAAGAACAAGATTGCGTTATTAAGTACAGTGCCATGTCTATTCCACACACACAGGCAATAACAACCAAAGCCAACGAGGATCCTCGTCAGCTTGATGTAACCCCTCTGGTGACGGCGCAGATAGATGTGTTACCCATGGTTGAGTCGAATAAAGTGATGCGTGAGGCGACCAGCAGTAATACTGAAAACAGTGTGGAGGGCAATCTTGTTGTAAGTAACGAGACAAGAAGAAGGTTGTATTAGGGCCCACCAGGAACGATCTCTTATGTCGTTCCTGGTGGCTTAGTTCTAGCTAGTTCATGTCTTCATCTATCTATGATCCACAAGGCAAATACGCAACAGACACAAACGAGATGTCAGCAGACGAGCATCGGCTATGGAGGCATACCTAGGCAAGAAGGTCGAGCTCCAACCTATGGGTAACTACATCGACGGCACCTCGACTTTATTCTCTCGCAACAACTGCAACTATGGCGGTAACAGCGATCAAGCAGTCTACAGCCACGGGAAAAACAGTCGATATGGGAGGTCGCAGCAGCATCTCGCTCATCCCTCGCCTCGTCACTAGCACGCTAACCATCACTATTACAACCATCATTACGACGACAACGACATTATCCTGCCCTTGATGCCCACACTTATGACTATGGCAGCTGGCGTTGATGTCAAGAAAGCAGACCAAGCAATAGAATGAAGTAGATAAAGAGAACCTTGATCAAGGACTAAGAAATGAGTATAAGGAATAGGTTAAAGAGTATGTTGTATTGGCGATACCAAGTAAAGAGCTATAGATTTGCTATCTAAGGCCCTTTTATACTCGTTAGGGCGATGTCAAGAAAGCAGACCAAGCAATAGAATGAAGTAGATAAAGAGAACCTTGATCAAGGACTAAGAAATGAGTATAAGGAATAGGTTAAAGAGTATGTTGTATTGGCGATACCAAGTAAAGAGCTATAGATTTGCTATCTAAGGCCCTTTTATACTCGTTAGGGCGAAGTCACAAGAGCAAGCTCTTGTCTCGTGACAACCTCCCCCTCTAGGGCCGAGTTCCAAGAGGCCTTTGGCTGGGTTTGTGAGGGTGTTGCAGATGGAACTCGCGAACAAGGTCCGGGGAATTCTTGACACAGGCGGCCGGTTCCCAGGTTCGTTCGGATACGGGGTAGCCTCTCCAATGTATATAGTATTCAAGGTGGTTGCGCCTGATCCGTGAATCCAAAATGGCCTCAACCTCGTACTCCTCATCGCCGGAGACGACAAGCGGAGGAGGTCGTTTTGAGGCTCGACCGGGGATCGTATCTGGATGCGCACGCTCAAGTAAGTTTACATGAAAGACAGGATGTAGCTTGGTCGTTGGTGGTAAATCGAGACGGAAGGATCGAGTGCCGATTTTTTCGAGAATACGGTAAGGGCCCATGCGCTTATGGTCGAGCTTCTTGCATGGTCTGTTCGTTTGGAGGTTCCGGGCGTCTAGCCATACAAGATCTCCTACTTGCAGATTGGGTTGTGGTTGGGCCTTGGTGTCGAAGTTCCTGGCATGCTGTTCAATGGCGGTGTGGATATTGAGTTGCATCTCCGCATAGAGGTTCTTTAGGGCCTGGACGCGTTCTTGGGCTGGGACATTGTCCTTCGAGACTCTTGGGATGGTGATGGTAAATTTCGGATGGTAGCCGAGGTTGGCAAAGAATGGTGTTGTTTTTGTTGTTGAGTGTGTTGCGTTGTTGTATGCAAATTCTGCTATCGGTAGAAGGGTGCTCCAGTCCGTTTGCTGATAGTCGATATACCCTCGTAGGTACTGTTCCAGTATTGAATTTACTCTCTCGGTCTGTCCATCGGTGCGTTGGTGGTAGGCGGTAGAAAGCTTCTGATTGATCCCCAGAGACTTGAACATGGTGGAAACGAAGGCTGAAGTGAAGGTGGCGCCTCTGTCAGAAACAATGTCATCCGGGAGACCGTGGGCTGAAAATACGCGTTCTAGGAACAAACAGACCGTATCCTGTGCATTGATGTTGTCGTAGGTGGGGACAAAGTGTGCCATCTTGGTGAATCGGTCCACAAAAACACAGATTGCCGTATAGCCGTTTGAGGGGGGGAGTTGGGTGATGAAATCCATCGATACTGAGGTCCAGGGGCGATCTGGTACAGGCAGGGGTTGTAAAAGTCCATAAGGCTTGTGAGTGGATGACTTTGTCCGTTGGCAGGTGTCACAACCGTTGATGTAATCCTTGATGTAACGCCACATGGAAGGCCAGTAAAAGGTTCGACTGACAAGGTCTGAGGTCTTGGTAATTCCAAAATGACCGGCGGTTGGGGCGTCGTGACATTCTTGAAGGATTTGTTTCTTGAGTTCGGGATCGTCGGGGACGCAGACAAGGCCATCCCGCAGGAGTAGCCCATCTTGAATTGAGTACTGGGCATTGTCCGAGTTCGACTTTGCGGTCTTGGCGAGTATTGGACCAAAGTATAGATCATCGGGGATTAGTGTCTTGATTTTTTCCTGGATCGCTGGCGTCTCTGGTTGCAGTGACCGGGCCTGGATGGTGTTCAGAATCTGGATCGGCGGTAGGAGGGTCATCTCGGTCTTGCCGTGCTGGGCCGCACCTCCCTCTCCAGGGTTGTCCCGCCGGGACAAAGCATCGGCAGCGGCATTCTGGGAGCCAGGGCGGTAATGGATGGTAAAGTTGTAGTCAGACAAGATTTCAGACCAGCGGACTTGACGGCGGCTCAATTGGCGCGTGGTGGTAAAGTACTCAAGATTTCTGTGGTCGGTGATGACTTCCGTGGTAGCGGGCGAGAATTCCAGGTAGTGTCGCCAATGTTTAAAGGCAGACACAATGGCAAGGAGTTCTTTGTCGTAGATCTGATAGTTGAGTTCAGCAGGCAATAGTTTTCGGGAGTAGTAAGCGATAGGATGTAGGCGTCCATCTTGGTCACGCTGACTGCAGACAGCGCCGAGGGCCTTGTCAGAAGCGTCAGTTTCAATGATGCAGGGGCGATCTGGTTGGAAATGCCGAAGGACGGGGCCAGACATGAAGCGTGACTTGAGCTCCGTGAAAGCGGCTTGTGCGATAGCGGTCCAGACAAAGTTAGTATTTTTCTTGAGTAACGCGGTGAGAGGCGCGGCGATATGGGAGTATTTCCGTACAAAACGACGGTAGAAGTTGGAGAAACCCAGAAAGCACTGGACATCCGAAACGGAAGAGGGAGTGGGCCAATCGCGAATGGCGGCAACCTTGGCGGGGTCCATAGAAATACCGTCAGTTCCGATCACAAAGCCGAGGAATTCGACTTTGTCCTTGTCGAACGAGCATTTCTCGAGTTTTAAGCATAGACCAGCGTCTTGGAGCTTGCTGAGAACTTTGCGGACATGCGCGGTATGTTCCTCAAGGGTGTCGGAGTAGATGAGAATGTCGTCAATGTATAGCACGACAAAGTCATCTAGGTAATCGCGGAGGACGTCGTTGGCGAAAGCTTGGAAAGTTCCGGGAGCGTTCATTAGTCCGAAGGGCATGACTGTATACTCGAAGTGGCCATAGCGGCAGCGGAATGCAGTCTTCCATTCGTCGCCCTCCTTGATGCGGAGAAGATTGTATGCTCCTCGCATGTCGAGCTTGGTGAAATACTTGGCTTTGCCTAGTCGGTCGAAAGTTTCGGAGATCAGTGGCAGAGGGCATCGATTGGGGACAGTCACCTTGTTGAGGCCTCGATAGTCGACACAGAGGCGGAGAGAACCGTCTTTCTTTTTAACAAAAAGGACGGGGGCGCCAGCTGGAGACTCGGATCGACGGATGAACCCTTTTGCAAGGTTTTCTTGAATATATTCGCGTAGAACTTGCAGTTCCGTTTGTGATAGGTTGTACACTGGTCCAAATGGCACGGTGGCTCCTTCGACCACAGCGATATTGTGATCATAGGGTCGATGTGGCGGTAGCTTGTCGGCTTGCATCTTGGAGAATACCTGAGCATATTCGGCATATTTCTCGGGCAGTTGGACTGTGGGTTTTGATTCAGGGATAGAGTTGTCGTTGGTGGTTGCGCTGGCGAGTTCTTCGATTCGGGAGACGTCGAGCATGTATCCGACTCCTTGATTGGTCTTGAGGATCTGACGGAGTTGTGTATTGCTAATAATGGAGATGTTGGTTGCTGATCGGTTCTTGGCGGATTTGGATAGTTGGTTGGATCCTGAGGTGTACTTGGTGGGAACCAAAGTGGATTTGGGTTTGGAAGGTGGCAGAAGGATTCGGTCTTGTTCCTGGAAGGAAGGGATGGATCGAGGCATTGTTGATTGTGCAAGAGGGGAAAGCTTGTCGAGTGTGTGCTGATGGAGGCATGGCATAGTAATGGTTCGTTTCTCCCAGTCGATATATGGGTTGTGTGAGCGGAGCCAGTCCATGCCAAGAATAATGGCATAATTGCCAAGTGCAATGAGTTGAAAAGTGTGTGTGGAAAAGTGTTGTGAGTGGGATTGCATAACCAATGTGGTGGCGTGATGAGAGGTATGTGTTGAACCATTGGCAAGAGAGATTTGTAATAAGTGTTGTGCTAGTGGAAGATTGTGCTGTTGTGCTAGATTTTGATGAATGAATGAGATGGTTGCTCCTGAGTCGATCATTGCATGGACTGGTAGTGAGGAGTTTTGGAAGTGAAGAGTAATTGGAATAGTAATAGGGGATAGCAGAGGATCATTTGGAGATTTGTTATACAGCTCGCCCAGACACACTCCAACTTTACTGTCTAGGCTGAATCTTTTTCCAATTGGAAAGAGATTGCATCGGGCTGGTCGCTAGTCTGTGTAGGCTGAAGGGCCGAGATCGAGGCTGTTGCCTTTGGGGCGTTCTTGAACGAGGGCTTTGCAGGTTTCTTGGGGCAGTCGTCAAGCCAATGATCTGCTGAACCACAGTAGGTGCACAGTCCTTCCTTTTGACGACGAAGACGCTCAGACGGTGGCAAAGGACCATGGCGAGCATGCGAGAGATCCATGTCCATCGAAGTGGTCGCGGGAGCTGAGGTAGCAGGGGTGGACGCGGTAGTTGGGGTGGATGAGGCTTGAGTGGTAGTAGAAGTGTGGGCAGTGGTGGAACGGGACGGAGTGCTGGAAGATTTGTTGCCGGAACGGGTCACTGCATAGCCGTACTGTCGGTTGTCGATGTCGATAGCCAATTGTGAAAACTCGGCAAAGGTAGGTGGCTCGGGGTAGTTTGCCATGGCTTCTTGAACAGACTCCTTCAGGCCGAGGCGGAACTGTGAAATCATTGCGCTATCATTCCATGCTGTATCCGCTGCAAGGTTGACGAAACGGTTTGTATAGTCGATGGCAGAACCGCGCTGTCTAAGTTGACGGAGTTGGGTTTCTGCTAGGACGTGAGCATTGGAGACTCCAAAGTTCTTACTCATAAGAGCAAAGAACTGATCCAGGTTAGAAATACATGCGGGTCTCTCCTCGACAGGCAACTTGAAGGACGGAACGTATCTCTGCATGTACTTGAACGCTGCAGTATCACCGAGGCGCGAGATAGCCAGCACAATGCGGTCGTGGTCGTTCGGATAGAGGGTCTCGTTTGCAACGAAGAA